GGACTTTCCTTTGTCGTCCTAAGGGTGTTATTAGTAACCATATGGTTGCCATGGAGAAAACAGAGAGGGGAAAAGGGGCCAACTCACATAAACTACATAGACAACCTGACGGGCCTCTTTGGTCTTACTGCGGCAATGACGTGTAATGTAGACATCGCCCTTGGGCACGAAAGTATAGTTCTGGGGACACGGGTCTTGACGGAGGCAGTTCTGGATGGATTTGCGTATTGTTAGCGATCTATACCCTTCCCAGTATGTGTCTGCGCCGGGAGCCGCAGGTTCAAGATGCAAGGGCGGAGTCGAGGACTCTCGACGACGGAGTTATAGTTCCCCTCTGCAACCTCCTTCCCCGCCCCTCACGAACAGGGACCTTTGCTGCAACCTCACCTTTTCCAAAGTATCCGAAGAAGGCGGAAGAATCGGTATCTTTCTTGACTTAGAAGGCTGCCATGCTGCCCGGAGCTGAGTCCCTGCCGCCTTGAATTTGGTGGTGTTTGCAGCAACTCCGAAATCGCCCCGATCGCGCTTCCTCTGAAGACTCCTTCTCCGTGCGTGTGCTAGAATCCCCCGGGGTGATGCCGGACTGGCTGCCAGGCCGACACCGGCTTTCTTGCGCTTGTCAAATCTCTTGGCGAGCTTGGGTCGGCCTTTCTTGGATCGAGAGTTGACTGGCATGCTGGATCAGGACAAGAAACTCCGGAGGAGAGCGAGCGGATGTTCAGGGTCACCAGACGCAGAACAGATAGCGGTGAAATGCGAGGGAAATGACTAGGAGTCAATAAATATGCTTTATGCTCGGACGCAAGTGGTCGATCGGTGATGCAATGCTGTAATTCATTCGGCGGACGGAGGATTCGATAGATAAGCGAGCGCAGGATTCAGGATGGGGTTCGACTATAAGACGAGGGGTAGATGTGAAAGAGTGACACATCCATTGTGACGGAGTACATGCTGTGTTATTTGTTCTTTGTTTTTCAAGGGTCCATAATGAGGTGTTCTGGCGCAATAAACTGCGCATTCGTTCAAGTTAATGATGCCCAAAGAAGGTGGACAGCAATTCAAGCCCCCGCGGACAAATCGGCCGCGTCGGAGAAAGATGTGGCGGTGAATAGGGAAGTGTGGCTGACACTACTGATGACTGAATATCAAGGCATCCAGACTGCGGGGACGGGCAACTGGTGAATTTCGACATGGAAGGCACATCATCAGCTCTACGCTCTACCACCGCATTATGGCTGATACTGCAGCACTAAAGGAGGGCTGAGAGTACCAAGCTAAGTGCCAGTGTAGTACACGGTCGCGAGTATGTCTTTGATACTTAGCACACTGTCGCACATGTTGGGACTCAGATCACTCAATGCGAGCCTTTCATTGTCTCTCATCTTGCGGACAAGAATAGCCGAGCAACATTTACAGCCACTGATAGGAGAGATGAACCCGATCTGATGGAACAGACCAGCTGAAAGGAAGTCAAAGCAACCAATGGCCACAACTCCTGATTCGAAGCAGTTGAGTACTATTGTGTCAGCATTTACTGTTTAGTGGTATCCTGCTACTTTGCAATAGTTCTCCGAACATACTGTGGATGAACTGCATCAAGCGTATAGATCTCCCGAAGTGACAGATCACTCAGGGCAACCAGCCGATTACCCCATGGAGCAAGAGCATATCGATAAGCTAAAGATAGCTGCAAGTTGCTCAACAGCGTCCCGAATCCTGACTACAAGGAGCGACCGATGCTTGATTACCGCGCTGACTGTTTAGCTTTTGTTGCCTGCATGAAAAGATCCGGCTACTCCACGTTCCTGTAAACGATGAAGAAGGGTTGGTTCATCAGGCACTTCAAGACCCTAGTTGACTGACAAGGGCAAGAGGTAGTTATCTGTTTGACCCTCCCGTCTCAGAACTTGCTGTGTCTGATTCAGCCCGCTCGTGTGTGTTTCGAAGAGGTTTAGGGCCCTGGAGCGCTCCCATCCTGGGAAAGGTATGTCCTGTGCTCCCTTGCTGATGTCTTCAACTCTAATATAGCCGAATCGATCGTTGGGAGGGGCGGTTAAACGCACACGCTGCATTCGAGACCATGCCAGGGGCTCTGGATTTATTAAATAAGATAGGGACTTGCTGTGTCTGTCCAACTGCGTTACACGGCAGGGCGTCTTAACTACTGCTGCAGGTCCCATGGCTCGCGTGCAGGTCTAGCAGCTAAACGATTGATGGACGGTAAGTTAGTTGGTCATGGGTGAAGCTGAAAAGGACAAGAGTCACCAAAACTTTTGCCCCTTAGGCCGACCATGGTGAAGACCAATCAATAATGGATTGGATGAGGGGTGACAATCAGAGCTGAGCAGGGACATGCCTAGTGCTGAGTGAGTCGGTATGTGTATGGGTGATAGAACAACTAGACCATAATAATTCGACCAGTCCATCATGGATCGATCCATCCTTTTCCTGGAGGGCCACTGTTCTGCCTAGGATAGGCTCCCCTTTCCCGGGCTCTGTCCCCAACCCTCTTTCCGACCAATGGTGGCTCGCCAGGATCACAACCGGTCGTTGCTGCAGCAGACGGTGCAGCGCAAGTTATCCCCAAATTCAGAGTCCGTGATTGTGCCCGAGATGAGTCTAGACTTAATTGGTATCGGGGCGACTCACGCGGCGTCCGATCGCGCTGAGAGGGAGAGACTTATCCCAAAGAGGTAATATTACATCCGGGTCGGATCTGGCCTGGACAGATGGAGGGGTGAGCATGTCTACTTAATAGTTCTCAATGCTGAGAGTGTCTGCTGAAAACAAAGTGCACAGATTGAAACCGAGCCAACCCCTTTTGTTTGTTCATGCTTGTACGGTATGCCGTTTGTATGTGTCTTATATGTCTTTTGCGTTAGTTGAGGCAGCGAATGATTGTGTCTACGTTTTCTGTCACCACGCCTCACCCGAGACCGAGTGGATAGCTGCAGCGGAGAGACGAAAGGCTAGCCTCAAGAATGGTCTAGCTGTCCAAGTTCAGGAGTTGGCATAATCAGAGCCACTTCTCTGACTTTAGTGACTACCATGTCGTCATTGCTGCCCCGATTCAGGGCCAAGACGAACCGAGGAAAGGAAATTAATTTCGGACAGTTCGAGCTCGCTCCGTCTCTGCTCGTTGCTCCAGCGCCCCCAACTCCCCAGTACGGCCATAGTCCGACATGGAACTGAACGAACGAAACAGAATCCTTAAAGGCTCGCGGTCTAGTCCAGCCGAGTTGAGTCGAATCGAATCAATCAAACAACCCCAGGGCGTCTGAGGGTCGTTTAGTCTAGTACGTAGTGTTCAGGAACGGGTTGCAAGGCTCCATCCACCTCCCCCTCCCTTTACCCCGTCGCCTAATGTAGACTGGATCGACAACAACCTGGGAAGGGAGCCTTCATCAAGGTGAACCTTGTCGAGAGATCTCAAACTCCGAGATGGAGTGGAGGTTGATCAGGTTGGGATCGATCGACGGCGGCTCAAGCCCGGCAGAAAGCTTCAGCGGGAGACATATCAATCTGAAGATGGGCAGAATAAATAGAGACTCGATACAGTCACTTGTGAAATCTAGGTCGAGAGTGCTTCAAGTGTTCAACAGCAGGATCGATGAAGGTGTCAGTTCCCAGCAAAGCAGCTGAGCCAGCCAGCTAACAATTGCCAGCAGCGATCGTGCGGGAGAAGGAGATAAGGCGATCCACGGGAATTGGACCGTCGTTCCTTGTTCTGGAAAACCTCCACGGGCGCTTTGAACCCCCTAGAGCTGTAGCTTCGTCCGCGTAATCTGTGAGAGCTATGATTTTCTTGAATTCTTCTTTCTTTACTTCTTTATTGCTGGGTTGCCGGTCTGGGGAATGAATGAGGCGGATATTGTTCTAGCTGGGGGTGCATTGCTCGTTCAGGGCCAGCCCCGGAAATCCGTATATGAACCCGCGGAACCTCGATCGCTAATGGAGCCCGATTCATATCACGACTGGTTCTTCTGCACTTTGCACAGCGAACGGAGTCTATCCAGCAGTCTATGATGCCGAGTCTTGCACTCTCCTGCACTCTTCCTTGTCCTTATGGCATAGGATAATCACAAGCTTGCCCGAGTGAGCCGGGCGACAGATAATCTTTCCATCAAGATGCCGAATCTCTACCACTACCGGATAGAGAGGGAGGAAGATCGGGAAGGAGCATGCTGGCTGGAAGACCCTCGATGATGATGATTGTGATGAAAGGACTATAGAGAGAAGGATGACTGTAAGACTAGCAGCTCAAAGGCTCAAGTGTCATATAGAAGAGACACGATCGAACGAGATCGAAATGGCAGCAGAACCGGTCCTGGGGTTCATCCTTCCGTAGTCTTTTTTTTCTTCATTGAAAATGGTTCCCCAGTGGATCTGCGGATGTATGTAAAAAGAAAAAAAAAAGAGGGCAAAGAAAAAAAAAAAACTGTTAAATTATTACCAAATTACAAACAGAGGAAAACGAAAACACAAAATTCAATTTCCTAATCCTGATCACTCTGGCAATTGCTTCCCTTTCTCAATTCAATTACTTCCTTCCTATTTGAACCACTATCCTCCTTGACTGTCTCCTTGGGAACGAACATACAGTAGCTAGTCAACTACAGTTCACAGCTGCTACAACTCCTACTATTGCCTCCGGTGCAGGGACTACTACCTACCGACTAACGAACCGAGCCTCCTCCCTAGAGAACCAAGGACCAGAGAAGAGAACTCTACTCTCCAACTCTCCGATACTCGAAAGAAGAGAAGAGACGTTTTGAAGGAAACGAACACACATCCGTTGGAGCACCCTTTGTTCAGCAGAAGCTCTATCATTCTTGGAACCTTTCTCTTCTTACTCCTAACTTACTCTTACTACTACTAAATTACTTCCCCTCTCACAACCACTTAATCTACCACCACCACTTCCTGCCCTTCCCTCCCTCCCTCCCTCCTCCTCCCTTTCTCTCATTACGACCCTCCTTTGTCCACCCCCTCCTCTCTCTCTTTCTCCTCGCTAGGATCACTTCCGGGAATAATTTCCCTGCCTCTCCTCCCGATTTGACTACTATGTGCTAAACCGTCAGTTCCTTCTTTCCCGTCCGCTCAGTCCTTCGAGGGGTCTCAACGCAAAGCTCGAGTTCTATGACCCCGGGCAACTTCACATTCGTCGGCAACTTCGATCCCTACCGAAACCCCTCTCCCCGAACATTCCTGACGACTCGCAAAAATCTCGAAAAATCTACGAGAGGGTTGCCTGGCAGCTTTGCAATTGTATGGTTGCTGGGATCACAAAGTTGCTGACATGAGTTGGGATCACCCTGTTCACAGGTATGTGGGATTTGGTTTATTCAATTTCCCTCTCTCTCCCCTACACATACGGCACCACGGGCTGGCACAAGCGGGGTTGCTTTGTCTTCTTTATTCCACTCCACCTCACTTGAAAGCCACTTATTCAAAACTTGTGCTCGCGTGCTTGTGTGCTTCAATTCTGCAACCCCCCCTTAGCTTTCTATGTGTATATAGTTGGCTCATATATACAATTTGTCTTCTCTGGCTGGCCCTAGGCTGGTTCCGCGGAGCTTTCTGTTGAACTCCGCAACCCCCCCCCGAAGTAGCCGCTCATGTGCACAATGATACTAACGGAGCCGTCCTTTACGTTCAGCTTCAGCTATCCAAACGGTGAACCTCAGACCCCAACGAGGACTCCTCCAACGAACACAATCTTCGGTGACTCGGCCTTTCAAACCCCCAAACTCGAGTCCAGCTTCTTCGATCCCCGAGTCACTTGGGACACCTCCGATCCCTATGCCTCCAGTCCGGAATTCCTCCGGACACCCCAGAAATTCGGTATAAGCACCCCTTCAATCAATCCTCTCCGATTGCCAGACACTGGGCCCGACCGACCGTTAGATGCAGACTCCATCTTGAGGAGCGTCAAAGCGGCGGAGCAGGACACAGATACAGCGAAACGACGCCGGCCGTCCAAAGCCAATGGGTTTTTCGGGGAGGAGGGTCCGCGAACGGTAGACTCAGCCAAGTCTGCCGCCACCATACAGACACCCCCGCCAAGCAGCGCTTCTCGAAAGAAGATGACCGAGTATGGCGAGGGCAAGGGCACTGGGCGACGTACCTCCGCCTCCAGTGCGGTGGGCGGTCATCTGGAGACTCCTAGCCGGATAATGGGTGCCTCGCCTCAGTTGTTCAATTTCACCTCCTCCCCAGATCCGTTTCAGCTGGGATCGATGAACCCCTCCGCATCCCCTCTATTTCCGCAGCAGAGACTTTTCTGGGATCATGACTTGGAAAATCATGGGGTAGGAATGGGTCTTTCGACCAGCGGTGTCGATCTATTCGCTCCGCAAACCAGTGGCCCCTTCCAGCTCAACCCTCCACCTCTGCAGGATGCCCATATCCCTCAGTTGCCCACCATCGAGGGTAGTATGGAACTTCCAGAGTTCAATACCAACGGCTATAACATGTCGTCAACCACCACGACCGACGCCGCACTGTTCCCTGCCCCATTCTCTACTTCTCCCCGTCTACCTATCACCAAGGCTGAGGATCCAGCCATGTTTCTCAGTTCTCCAGCACGTCGTTTTGGGGGACCCCAGCCGACTCCTGAGAAGAGGCTCTTTGGCCGGCCTACCCGACAGCCCTACCATCATCAGACCGAGGAGTCGAAGCGGGAAGAACTCCGTCGGGCACAGAGTGTACACCACCCGCTCGCCGCGTTCGGTCACGAAGAGGACGATGACTACACTCCTCGACAGGCCCGGCCGACGCTGACCCGTAGTGTCACTCACACGGCTATCACGTCTTCTCGCCCCGGTGCTGGGAGTACGATGTCTTTGACAAATGGCATTCGCAAAAGCCCATCGAAGGGCCGCCTATCGCCTGTTAAATCTATGCGCCAGTCGATGCCCCGCTCAACGTCTGCGGCCAGTGTACCTACACGTTCTCAGTCAGTGGTTCTCCGGATCGGACGCGATGGTCGAGCCAAGACCGAAATGCAGCCCGTGCAAGAGGCAGCGACTGGACTGACAGATCCCATCACCGCCATGGATCTGGAAGGCTCCACAACAGAGAGCGAGTATGACTCAGTCGATTGCTCTGAATACCCGATCATCCCTAGTCGCAACCCCTCACTCGCATTCTCAGATGCTGGAAGGTCAGTGACGGGCCGTAGTGACTCGGATTCACGGCCTCACTCGAAGGGCTCCTACACCTCGACGGCAGCATCGTCCCAGTCGGGACGGATGTCCCCGTGGAATGGATCTACTCGCGGATTTTCCCGCCGACCCCAGTACAAGCCCACTCTGGATGACTGGAAACGGACACCGAAAAGACAGACTGGCATGCTTCACTCGGATCTGTCTTATCTGAGTGCCGGGTCGCTGGGGGAGCCCTTCGATGACGTCGATGAGGACAGTGGCGATGCTCAGCATGCCCTCCGGAAGGTGTTGCAAGAGCGTGGACGTCCGCTTCGGCCTCACACTGTCAGCTACAGCTCGCGGATAGGTCGTGCCAATCGTTCTCTGGCTCACCTTCGGTCGTCCCCGCCGCGATTTGGAGCCGAACTGGATCTCGCTACACGGACGATGAACACGTCTCCTACAACGATGACGGACCCTGACATTGCAACACCGATCACCGATCGGTTCAGTAACCCCAGCCGGGGAACCAGGTGTGTCTGCAATTCCATGGACAACGGTGGTCACCTGATGATCCAATGGTAAGTAGTCCTGAACACCATAGCAGTCCTTTCCTAGCCTGACTCAGGGACAGTGAATCATGCAGTCACTGGTTGCATACCAAGTGTGTTGGACTTGAACGGGCCAATCTCCCCTCTGTTTATGTCTGCGTCTTCTGCGTTGCACAGACTCCCACCCGGAAGAATAATCGTGTTCGAGTTCCTGTTGGCGGAGTCGGCCATGGCCATGGCCCCCCCTCACCCTTGGCCCATAAGTCCTATCGGTTCCGTTGAAATGCCATGAGCTCGGACACGCTGGTACGACTTGCTTTCTTACTCCTCGACATCCGCCTACCTTCAATACCCTTTGTCTCACGCTAGCATAACTCATACCCATACTCTCTACTCAAGGAGCAGAGAGTCTCCATTATTCTGGGTCTCCTTTGTCATTTTGTCCTGGATTTAGACATACCCCTTTCCTTTTTCTGAAACATATCATCTCTTTCCGGGCGGCTCTATGTTTACATGACCGCAGTGATGAGGGTTACCCCTTACTATGTTCTTAATCGTCCGGCAAAGGGCCACGTGATACCTTGTATTCTGTATGTAGCCAACGCTAATCACCAAGAAATACACTCAATGATAACGAACAACCTTCTGCACGAGTCGATTGCAGGAAGAGCACAGTAGAGCTGACAGCAGATCACTGCTACGGATGTCAACTGTTCCAGTCTAGCGTGTACATGTCTAGACTTATATTTTCTCCAAAGCTACTAGGTTCCTAAACTATGAATATACCTACCCTAACGTATATTCAAATTAGCCCATGAATCAAAGAAACTTATAAGAAGTATAAGAACCAATATGCGCGTTTAGTTATATAATATAATATCTAAGCATTTCCAGAGGGCACTTGGTATCTGCTCGCATGGATTAGTCTTGGTTTTGACCGTGGTAGACTAGACTAAGCTAAAGGAGTAGTGTCCATCTTAATGTTCCTGTGCCTCTTCCCCTTAAATCTAGTCCATCCCATTACATTTCACCCTGACAATGCCACCAGTCACTCGCTCCACGCGCCGCAATCTTCCCACCTTCCTCCAGGAGTCATCAGCTCGCCAGTCAACCACGTCTCAGCCGCTGCGTCTAAATGAGCCCACTCGAACCGGCTGGTCATGTCTCCTCGACTGGATCGCCATCACCCCGGCTCTCATCTGGGACCATGCCGAGCAGACCGATGCGATCGACGAATTCTTCGACCAGCTACGGGGATATACCACCATCAACCTCCGACTCCAGCGATGTCGCTCCCTCGAAGCTCCGAACACCGAATATCTCATGATCGGTTCGTCGATCCTGCCCCGTCCGCTGTCCTTCTTTTGGGGAGATACTGATGAGGACCACCAGAATGGAGCCACGCTTCCACCCGAGCCAAATTCATTGACTCAGACGACTACACCTCTCTGATGGATCTCCTCGGACGATTGACACAGGGTAGATCCGTGCAACTGTCTCTGCTGGATTTCTCGTCAACGAACACGTATTGCGCCTTCCACCCTGACGAACGGGGCCCCGTCGACCACTTCGAACTCCTGATGGTCTACTTCCCCGGCCACCTGTCCGAGTCCCAACGAAAAGAAATCTCGCGCAGGGATGGACCGTTCAGTCTGCGCGGCTGCTTCCCCGGGCAGCCGTATGAGGAGATCGAGCCGCTCCCGCTGCACCAGTTGGTTGACTGGACGTGTGGGTGGTTGGTTGACACCACTAGTGCTGGTGCTGGTGGTGCTGGTGCTGTGGACTTCCGGGGCTATCGCGGGGCGCAGTGCCTGGTCTACTTTCTGCGGTGGAATGGGAGGGCTGGGGAGAAGAGCTACAAGTCGATCCACGAGACGCATACGGTGGATTGGTGGGGGGAGTTTTTGGCTCGGTTGGAAGAACTCGGCATGCTGGGGTATGAAAGTCAGCATGTGCAGTTTTATAGAAGTTCGCGTTTATAGTACATATGATGGGGCTTGTTGTGTTCTCTTTGTTTGGTTGAGATGAGAATGAGTACTTGTGAAGGTTTCTATGACTTTCCTCGTTTAACGTTTAGTTGAAGGAAGGAGGTTGATAGAGTGAGGTCAGCTCCGAACTTGAGAAGAACGGTTCTCTCTTAATATCCCGGCTCTTGTATCGATAGTATTAGGGCTGTATGCTGCGATGAATGCACTGTTTGTGTAGCGTCTGGAGTTTGGCTCAAATTATAATTGAGATCCCGGGGCTGCGGATGCTGCACCGTTAGAACAAATTGTGGTGTCAACGGATGCTGGGTAGGATTTGAGATTCGAGACGTTCCAAAGCATGGGCCGTACGCTTCTAGCTATTGGCCCCATGTTTTGTTTCTCCAGCGGTATAGACAAGTCAAACGGCCTCCATCTGTGCATCGAGTCTATGCAATCGCTGGCTGGTCTGATAAAGCCCAGCTCGGAAGTCCAATAAAGTTCAGTGAAATACCAGCGTTGCTTGGTCCATTTGGATTTATCAGTAGCTGTATCAGATAGCCACTTCTGAGCCTGTGCCATGGCTGAGCCACATAGGGTGTAGTATCTCTTGGATGTCAGAAAGGTTATTGTGTTGTTCCCATACGTAGTGGACGGTTGGGCTACCAGAAAGGCAAGTGTCTCCGCAGCAACGCGGGCAGCACAAACCGGCAACGAGTCTGCAGAAACGAGGATGCCACGCTTCAGCTGACGGATATTGAACGCATGAGCGCACGCAGCTCGGGGACAGTAACTTCTGGTGACAGTTTCCACTCAAGGAGAAAAGTGCGCAGGTCGTGGATTGTGGGAGTTGGACTGCGAGGGGAGGAGATACTAGTAGCTTAGCCTTCATTTCCTGAACACGAGCTTTTGAAGAATAGCGACCCTCAATGCTTGTTTCCAGCGAAAGTCTGCGTGCTGCTTGAAGGCGGCTGGCGAATCGCAATCCGCGAATCTGAATGTAGAAGTCAATCTGGCCACTGTGCATGTTCAAATTGAAGTCTATCGCGATGTTGTGACTGCAACTCTTCTGGAGAATGCTCACTGCACTCCTACCCGGACGTAGAAGATAGGATATCTGTACTGCCCGAAGTGCAGAGACTCCACTCCGCTTCAATTGCTCAGAAGTCGTTCGGCGATGAAGCATGATAAGCTCCGCCTTCGACTCAATCAATACCATGGCCACCAGCAACCAGCCGCGCAAGGCCATGACGCACAAGTGAGACGGGTACTCCCTCGAAAGTCCGGAAAGAAACCTGCGGTTCGGTATCCTCCAGCAACCGACGAACAATGTGATGATGCGGTTGTTCGTGGCTCAGAGAATAAGAAGGGTTTAGAGGCCTCGACCATCACGATCTCAGGATCAGGCGGATAGAGCAACAGCTCAGCCACCTCCCGGTACCCCATCGCCGCGCGTATGAGAGCAAATCGGCTGTCTGTGGTCATTCACCGTCATATCGTCTGGGTCCTGTATAGCCCCATGGGTAGATCTTGTGGTTTGAGCGAATTGAAATGCATATCCTGTACAGGCAAGAAAACCACCAACACACACTGCAGCGTGTTCCATGGCACGTTCCTAGATGAAAAACTCAGAGCCAGGACTAGATAGCCAAGGCAACTTCATGCTCGAAAGGATTCTCTTCCCGCGCGTTGCAGGCTGGTCATCCTAGCGCTTCGGCTCTGCTTCTTCTCCCCTTGAAAGTTCCGCCCAAGCGGCTTCGCCGTCCAACTGAGCTTGCCAGCCAATCTTGATTTCGCTCGTGTTCTTTGCGATATGGCCGTCGTGCATAAATTGGGAAAGTTCCTCGCCCCAGTTTGTAGCTGTCGCTGCATTCTTTCAAGACCAGCAATCAACTCAATCAAGCCGAGATTCGAGACCAGACGGACCGACAGCAAGCCGATGCCAACCGGGCCTTAGTATTAGGCATCGCATTTCACTGCCTCTGCTGCGTTCTTCACAGATGAGTCTCTATCTTTGGCGGTGGAGGCTGAGGAAAGCTTACTTGGGAGGCTTCGTAATGAACAACTTCACCCTTATCTCTGCAATATGCATGCCTTCAGCGAGTCGACCACGTCCTGTGGACATCGGCACGTTAATTGACCCCCGTGCAATTCCCTGCGATTTCTTGTAGACTTCGGTGACGCTGCGGATGATGATGTTGTAGTGGTGATTGTAGACTTTGGCCATGGAATGTGAGGGTAGGGCTGTTTATTCCTCCTTGGGAGTTATACTTGAAGAGATGATAGGTTGTATGATTGTGATACAAATTGGGTGTGTGCATTTTGTAGGCTGGCCCGTTGCAAGGTACGCAAGACCTTTTGCGTCGGCGAAGTAGAGTCTGTGGTTAGGGGCAGCACACATGGAGTGTGAAGATGATAAACCATGTGTCCAAGGTTGGAGTGGGGGTAGCTAAAGCTGGATATGAAAGTTGTAAGGATATTCTTGACTGGTTGAAGATGAAGATGTAGAAGAGGGAGCTTTGACTGGTCAATGGGAGATGGAGACAGGAAAGAGAGAGAGACACACACAGAGAGAGAGAGACAGGAAGTTGAAAGCAGACCGGAGAGATGAAGAGAAGATATAAGTAAGCAATAGCCTGATCAAAAGGTGACTGCGAATAAGAAAGTATAGACATATTAACACGACAAGACAATAGGAGACGCTGCCATTGAATCAAGGTGGCATTCCACTCCTTTTAGTGACAAGCTATACATGGTGAATAGCTTCGGTCTGTGGCTTGCACCGTTCTGCGCACCCCACACGCAGGTTGTCCTATATCCTAATAGTAATGAGGTAACATTGATAGACTGCTGAATAGTACAGAGACTGTAGTGCTGATGCAACAAATGATTTATGCCCAGTATATACAGCAGGCACCCGCAATATATAGCGTGGACCCTTCCACAGTACACATGTAGCACAGTAGCACAGTAGCACAAGCAGCAAATCCCCACTCCAACCTCCAACCACCAAAGTAAGACATACCTTAATCATCAATCCACTAAAAATACATTATCTTACACCAATTGCCAATTGCCTCAAAAAACCAAGTCATAATGGGGCAAACCAAGCAGAATTAATTACTCCAAGCAATATGACTCACGCACCCGTGCGCCAACACGAGATTAAGAATAAGAAAACCCACCTCAAACCATAGATAAGGTCTATGGACCCTGAATCTCAACTTAAATTCAACAATAAACCACTTCATCATATTCGTGTACCAGACATCTTCCCCTTTGATATCTCTATCTCTAGATCCAAGAAACCGCCAACACAAAAAAAAAGAACAAGATGTACCCCCCATCAACCTTCACCACCCCACGCCTCCTCTTCGAGGCCATGACGCCCGACGATCTCGAAGCCATGTATCAGATCCGCAACAAGCCCGAAGTTATGAGATGGAGGTAAGCAAGACCCCTTAAATTGTCCAGCCTGCAGCCTGTATGGAGCAACTCCTATACCCCAGAACTACGTTTACGTGACTAATACGACCCAACCACCAGCCTGCGCAAACTCCCCGACCAAAACCTCGAAGAAACCCGCACCTGGCTGACGAAATTCATCTCGGGGGAGAACCACCCGCCCCGGACGTGCTACGTTATCCGGGAATTGTTACCAACGCCTAAATCTTCCACTCCCGATGGGACTGGGGCTGCGACTCCAGCAGTAGCAGCAGGCCCCGTCATCGGCAACATGGGCGTGCGGATGGAGCCCGCCCCGACCCAGCGGGATGATCCTGGATTAACATCATCGTCCTCGCAGCAGCAGCAGCAGCAGCAGCAGCAGCATTCCCCAAGCAAAGACCGCTGGGAACTGGGGTACATCTTCCACCCGGATGTGTGGGGCAAGGGGTACGCGACGGAGGCGGTGCAGCACCTCAGCCAGAAGTTCTTTGGGGAGCTGCAGGCCCAGATGACGGAGGCGTATGGGGCGGAGGCCACCAGGAATGTGGAGGGGGGACTGTGGGCGATCACGAATCACGATAATGCGGCGAGTCAGCGGGTGCTGGTGAAGACGGGGTTCGCGGGCCCCGTTGAGGAGTTTGTCGAGGGGGATGGGACGCGGTGTGATGTTTTTGTGAAGTATAAGTGATGGATTTCTGGAGTTCTTTGGGAGTATCCCCCGCCCCTGCTGTGTGCTTCATTTCTAGATTGTTGGGGGTTTGGGGGATATGTGTTCGGATTCTAGATGAGGGCAGACATGTGTATATATGTGTATATATAGTTCGTGAGTCTGAAAGATGTTGTTGGTCATGCATGGCTTCGTGACTTCGTAGCAGCAAGACAGCTAGCTGTCTATTTGTTGTAGTCTAGCAGTGAGCTTCTATCGCCTCGTCATCGAATTTGGTTCTAAACCATTGCGTAAGCATCATGCATCTCAATCAGTTGTATCAGTGACAACTCGGGGTATATACATCGTAGTATGGTATGAGTAATGATAGTAATGCATAGGCAAGCGTAGGCAGGAACCAGTATCGCACGTATCATAGATACTACCACAATCAACCCCCCTCCAAGGATAACTCAACCCACGCCCAGAACACAATGCAGGCGTATCGAATATATCAGTAATAGATAAGAGATAAGATGGCTAAGAGCAAGCCGATAGAGACAGAATCAACCACATCGTATCCTTTCGTTGCGGCCACAAAGAATATTTTTCCTCCGTCAAGGCCTGCAACCGACCAGGGAATAATTCACCGTCCGATAGAATGGAGCTTTGTGACACAAACATAAACACCAGACTCCGTGAATCCCCTCCCTATTGCATATACCCAGTCATCGTCAAGCGGGCAACCCATACAGCCCTGCTAAATATTATCCAAAATAAAGTAACAGTCCATCTATCGTAAAGGCAGCTATACCCGACAGAAGAGCTCGAAGACTGCAGCCACCGGCTCTTATGCCATGTAGTTCGTCATGCAATGTTCCCTTGCACTAGAAGTCAAACTCCTCACTGGCGACGTTGGCCGGTACGTTGTAATTGTTCCCCGATGCGGAGAGCCTCTGTACCGTCATCCACCAACGACTCTTTGAACCAGGGGTGCTTCAAGGCTTCCTTGGCGGTTATCCGGTTCTTCGGATCATACACAAAGATTTTTTGCAACAAATCCAGGAACAGTCGATGGAACTTGGTATTGCTTGGGATAAACTCCTGTGACTGGTTAGTGGTGGCTTCCGGAGGCTGGCCATCTCCTATAACTTACAATGAGCTGTTTCATCGCCCGGACGTACTTCCGTGAAGCCCGTGTCGTCTGGTCATTAGGATATTCGAGGCGTAGGCGACAGAAGTACCTTTCCAGGTTAGTACAATCAAAAAGAACGAAGGCGAAAGACATACTTTGCAGCTTGATTTTGGCTTCCACTCCGACCACCCTGCATCACTTGCCGGACAAGCCGCGTGTCGATTCGCTCCCCGATGACGGCCTCCATCATGGCCAGATGTTCGAGATTGTCATGAGTTTGGAACAGAGCATCTCCCGTGAAGAATTCCACGAGGATACACCCAATACTCCAGATATCGCAGGGGAAACTCCAGCCCAAGTTCAAGATAATCTCGGGAGCCCGGTAGTGTCGAGTGGAGACCACCGACGAGTGGTACTCATCATCGAAGGTGGCCGACCCGAAGTCGATCAACCGGATCTCGCTATCTAGCAAAACACGTCTCTGCCGGGCGCTCCGTGAAATCGCGCAGGAGGATGAGGGAATGGTACGGTTATATGTGAAGGTCTGGTATGCACTGCTAACGAGCAGGATGTTCTCGGGTTTGAGATCGGTGTGGATGAGGTTGAGGTCATGGAGAACTGCACAGTCAGCATCTGCAGAGAATAAACAACCAAGGAAACTCACAAGCAACACTGGTGAACAGTTGCCGGGCAAAATTTTGAATCTGGCTGCTGGGGAACGGCACGAAGGCATTTCCCTTGAGGAAGTCAAAGACACTCTGTCCCAGCAGATCTGTCACAATGCAGATGTGGTTGCGGAAATCGAAGCAGTCCCGTAGGTGAATGCACTTGTTTCGATTGGCTTTATCATTCGAAGCCAAGGTGGACAAGACTCGCAGCTCGATCCGCGAGGCATCGCGATATTTCTGAATGGAGCGGATGATCTTAACCGCACAGCGGGTCTTGCGGGTCTTGTCGTACGCCTCGACCACCTTCCCGAATGTACCTTGTCCCAGTAGTTTGACGATCGAGTCTGAAGGTGTCAGTTTGGGCTTCCTTCCTTCCGTAGACATCAAGTACTTACATCGATCGGTCAATGGAACATTTGGCGTCACAATGTAGTGGCCGTCGTCATCATCATACTTCTCGCTTCTGTTTCCATACTGCAGATCCCATTAGCGCTACTATTCTGTGCGAGGAATTCAGTCACCATACTCACATCGCGAATCACCGGAACCGGCACATCCTTCGCCTTGATGATGGGCTTCGGAGGCGGGACGTAACTCAGGAACGCATCACCAGCGGCCTCCAACTCTTTCTTTTTCTGCTCATCACGAGCAGACTTCCGGGTGGTCACTCGCTTGCGTTTTTGGCCTGTGTTGGCGTCTTCATAATATAACCCGTTGCTAGCCCCCGTGCTTCCCTGAGATAGGGAGGTGGGCGCGGTAGTATGTAGAGATGTTGTTCGGTCGGTGGAGAGAGACTCAGCCGAGGACTCTTCGCCATACTGTTGGGGGTTGATCGAGAACGAGGGTCGATCATAGGTTGCAAGATCGTAAGTCGTGTCGGGGCCGGTGCGCCGCTTCTTGCTAGCCGGTTGGGGCGCCGCACCATTAGGTGCGTTGATATAAGCCGTCGCCGGATTGCGCGAAGCGGCCTGGGACTGTTCTGGAGGCGGCGTGTCATCGATCACGATGACTTCCTTGGGTATGCCGTTCTTGTAGAATTCGCCCCAATTAGGCTTCCTCCTCCGACCATTTTGAGCGGCTGATACAGCGTTCATGGGGTTCTGCGCAGGCGGCATAGCGGTTGTTGTTGTGGAGGCGATAGAGGGCGTGGGAGCCGTGGGTATTGTCTTAGGAGATTGGACGAAAGGGAGAGAGGTAGTCGGGGGGTTGACAGTATAGGGATAGGCGGAGGTGACGAGGCGAGCAGTGCCTGCAGCGGACGTGGTCGGGTAGGATGGGGTTGGCTGGTAAGGTTGATGATGGGGGTATGCGTAGTGTTGCTGATGGTGCGAAGGGTGTGTCGCGGTAGCCGTTGAAGGGGTAGACATGATGCAGAAGAGGGGACGCGAGACCCAGCCGGTCGAGATGAGCGGCGGACGGTCGTCGAGAGAATGAGAATGTAGACGAGAAGAGTCAACGAAGTCGATGGGGGTCTGTGGAAGGGAGAGGGAGAGGGGAGGAGGAGGAGGCGGTTCAGGGAGTGGTCGGATCGTAGTCGGCCGTCCGCAGCGTCACGGCGGTGCTTGGTAGTAGGTTCGTCGGTCGTTTCGTCGAGCGCAGTAGGGGGAGACTCGAGTATCGTACCCTGGGAAATCGGCCAGTCGCGTCGGGTTTCCCAAGTCGTATATCACCAGTAAGAGTGAGATTGTGGAAAGGAGGAGGGGGTATCAAAACAAAACGTGTAGTGTAAAAGAGGAGCAAGGGAAACGAGAGAGTGCGAGAATGGAGGAGGAAGACGAGGAGGAGGCAGCGTGGGGATCGCAGACTGGATGAATGGATGAATGGATGGATGGCGAGGCGGTCGGTCGGGGAAGATCAGAAGAACCGCGTATGACTGACCCTTACAAATATCTGAATCACAATGACTGAATTAATTACATGGAGTTGCGGAGAGAAGAGGAGAGGAGAAGGGGTAAGCAAAACAGCGCTCATGAGGGTCAATGGCGGGGGGCGTTGTGGGAATTATTGATTGATTGAATTCATCATGGGGGAGGCGATGAACGATGGGTTGTATGGATCGATATTGAGTATGTACGAGTATGCTCAGAGAACGATGGGGTTACCAGCAGAGAACGATCGAGGTCCAGCTCCTTGTAGTCGAAGAAATTAAGTCAAGTTGTCCCCATTCCAATTGATCACAGTGCTACGGATTACAGATGTTGCTACCATACCTACGTTTCGAAGACCAAGGCAACAATGGACGGTTGGAGAATTGTTGATAGAAAAGTAACGTCCATCATAATCCTTAGCAACATCATCATCATCATTAATGTATTGCCGCACGAGCACCAGGTGAAAGGGACGAACGGTCGGTTATGACACGCACACCCTCTCCCCTCCCTCTTCCTCAATTTCCAGTCTTTCCAGTCCGTCCATCGCGTGGGATTTTGATACTACTTTTATTTTGTGTAGTCTTCCCTCCCCCTTGCGAATCTTGCTGTCTTATGATTTCTCAGACCCCTCCCCTTTATCCCCAAGAAAGAATGACTGAATGACAATGAGAAGAGCCGATCAAATAATTAATAGTGACCTGGGTCGTCATCTTCTGATCGGAGACTGGGTTCACCAGCCCGTCGATCCGCTGGGTTCCTCCCCAATCAGCCCCAGAGGCGAAAAGAGCAAAAGCCCACTAAACGGTTTAGTGAGAGAGGAGAAAAGTAAGTTAACGAGGCGAAGTCTAGGCTTATTCTTACCCGATCGATCCACTGGACGGATGCATACAATAGGGACATAAAGAAAGATTCTTGCTACTGTAATGAAAGTCCGACAAAATGGAAGAAGCAACTATTGTGATTCGAAGGCAACATGCACGAAATACTGAGTATAATCTGCGATCATCGTGAAAATTTATTGTTATTCTCATTTCCTTTGGTGCAGGGATAATGGCCTTCGGGCTGTCTGTCTGTTCTGTCTCCCTATAACCATCTTTCTACGGAGTATGCAGTGGCAAGACATCGGCTAGTAAGCAAGACCAGTCAGCATCTGCACTCTCGGCACGTTTGGCTGTCCGGAGTAGTCCTTACTTTGCCTGTCCCTGCCACATTCACCACTGCACATTAGTTACTGTGTACTGTGTGTGTGCTCCATGCAGACTGCACTGCTGCAGTTGTGCCTTTAATCTCACATCACAAACTTCAACCACTGACTTACTAGTACTTCTATTCCCATGACACTACCATCCTTCTCCAAAACACCTCGACCTCGTTCCCATCGCAACGGGACCACTAACCCCTTCGAGCCAACCTTACTCATAGGATGGCGCACACAACTGAGCCTCCGAGGCAAGATCATCCATCCATCCCCATCTCGGTGCTAATCTCCGCTGCCAGGTGCGCTGCAGCAGCGCAATAATTCGGGGCCATCGGGAACCAGAGGGCCCCAAACCGGAGCCAATTACCCCCTCCCTCCCTCATTCTCACTCTCCGCTTCGGTCCTCTAGCTTGATACTATTTTGCCTGTTGCCCGTAAATTAAAATCCTTACTCGGGATCCGTAATTAAATCGTGATTCATGATTTATGTTATGCCACACGCTACTCAGACATGCTACTCCGTCCCTGCGTCCTCTGACATCATTGTCCCGAAGTTCTCTGCCTGGAGGCGGTGGGGAAAGGGACGGTGAGGGTACTTCTCTTTTGCGCGGGTTTTTTAACTCGGAGTCTCGGACTGCTACGTATGAGTAGGTGTAGGCGTAAGGATGTGGAGCGCTTTTTTGGGAGGAAGGGGGGGGGGCCGCGCTTCACTTGTGTCGAAATCTTGCTATGTATGCATCGCGAGTGGAGGGGTTTGGAGTGGGCTGGCTGCTGAACTTCTCTTTAGTATATGCATACTTCTGGTTAGAATGCCAGATCACCTGCTACAGCAGGCAGGTTTCCATTGATTGGAAAGAAGGGTCGAAGCAAGAAGTAGGTATCTACTGTAATATACCGAGACGAGAGCGCTGAGCTACAAACGAATAATTTAACGCCCAAGAATGGTGAGGCGTTCCGGCGGGCCATTGTTGGATGTTGCCCCACGGGAATCTCGGACTGACTTAGACTCATGGGGTGCAGGGGCCTCGGAGCCAGCCCTAACCTGCTAAGGAAAATCCCCGGGCTTTGCGCCTCGGTGCCTCAGGTACTCCACTCATGATACTCATGACCTCGAAGTTCGGTGCTATGATTCAGAAAGTAAAAGTACAGTACGACAAAGGCTATGCAACGTATTCATAACACACAAGATGTGTGCTTTCATCTTTGCTGTCATTCGGGGTTTCATCAGCAACATCATCATCCCCCCGTCCCCTCATTCCTTGGCTCATTCCCCCGAAGCTAGTAGGTCATATTTTAACACAGCAGTTCAGCGTCGTCCCAATCAGATTAAAAGAAAATGGGTAATAAGAGTTGTTACGAAAACATGAAATGCAAGAACGAGGGACTGAGAAAGAGAAGGAAAAGCTCAAGACGCTGCATGCATCAAAGGGAAGGAAACATCATTGGCAACGCCACCGAGTTCAGCTACTTTGCCAAATAAACCACGATCCTGCGCAGTGACAAAGAGCTCCCCTCAGTCTGCTCGATCCTCCTTCACGTCCTTCGAGTAAGCTTTCTGCACGTGGCGAGGGCCACGCCCGTCGAGCTCGAGCATGAACACAATGTCCCGAACCTGGATCCCAGCGCCCTTCGCCTTGTCCTCCCGCCAGCTCCCCAGTCGTTTCGCGGGGGCCGGTGCTGGTTCACCCGAGCGGCCAGCCTTTTCGTTGCCGGCGGTAGGCGTGGCCGTGTTAACACGGGATGGCGTGGAAAACCCACTGCCTGCCGCCGATCCACGATTCAACCAGGAATATGACTTCTTCGCTCCGAACATTCGCCCAGAAAGCATGCTGTTGGTTGCCATCCGTGCCGTCTCCACAGATTGCTGATGTTGCTGAGCTTCGCTGGCTTTCGCGTCCATCAACTTCTTGGCTTCTTTCTTGGTGAGCCCCTTCTTGTCGATGCTGGGTGCCTTCTCTCCAATAGGTGTTGAGGCTCCAGAGCCAGGGATATCCACACTCTCCGCTCGACTGGCTACACCGTCGCCAAGAATAGCACTCGCACTGCGTTTCGCCCGCTTCGTCGCCCGAGCGTCTTCACTATAATTGTCCTTCTCCGCGATTATGCGGTACTTTTCAAGTAGGGTTCTCGTGCCTTGTTGATCCGTGGCTGGGTTGGGACCTAATACTGTTAGTGACTTTGAGTCAGTAGCGATGGATAGTCGAACATACGTTTGGCTGGCGTGCTGGGGTTCTCCGCACTCCCATTCGTCACACTAGCCGCAGAAGCCACATCCTTCCAGTCCGCAGGAACCACGCCGTGGGAATGTGCGCGGCGACTTCTCGCCAGTGTAGAAGAATAATCCACAACTGAGCGCAGACGCTCCTCACAGGCAATGGACATGAGGCTTAGAATATCAAGTAAGGGGGCGCCAGTTTGATTGAGAATTGTCTGTCCCGAACGGATAATAGACGACCCATCCGGTCCCGTCACTTCGATCGGTTGCTGGCGACCGGGGACGGGGTGATATAAGCCCTCCGCGGGGATGCGAACGCCCAGCTCAAACCCTCGCTTCTGCAACTTCTGCTCCAAAACCTTGGTCAAGAGGAATGAGTGCTGTAGGTGATACTGCGCACGTCGTGCCGCTTCGCTATCCTCTCGGGTTGGTTCATTGGGGTCTTTGAAAGGAGCGGGTGGCTGTGATGCTGGCTCTGTGTAAAACGAGTCTTGGGTCGTAGGTGGTTTGTAATGTGAGTTGTCACCAAAACTCGGAGTAGAAGGAGCGGTGCCGGTGGTCGATGGCTGAGAGGAAAATGAGGTATTGACTGCGGCGGGTGGGGGTGGTGGCTGATGGTGAAGTTGTTGCGGGGCGGGAGGTTGTTGAGGTCGGGGAGCTTGTTGCGCTTGAACGCCTGGTCCGGAGTAGCTGCTGGTCAGGAAGGCCTCTTCCTCACGCACATCGATTCCGGATGATGCCAACACGTCAGTCAACTCAGCAGCGTCCGTGGCTTTCTCAACCGGTCTTGACGGAGGTCCCATCGTGCCCGAAGGAGGAGGAGGTGGTGGTGGAGGAGGACCGGGAGTTGATGGAGGCGCAACACCGTTTAAGTTATTGGCATTGTACGGAGCAGACTGATTAGGTGGTAGTTGCAGAGTACCGAAGCTGGGAGAGGCGTACGGTGACTGAGATTGTGGGAGAGGAGAAAGGCGCTGTCGCTTCGGAGGAGGAATACCGCCATTCGGTATCGGCGACGGAGCACCTGGAGACGGTGAGGTTCCCGGGGGCGAGAAGGCTGGGGTGTAGTGTTGCCCCTGAGGTGGTGGTGGTTGCGCCATGGTGAATTAGTCTGCGACAGTCGATGAATTTACTTCCGACTCAGATCAAACTCAGTCACGTCTATTGGAGATGCGTCGCGTATGTGTTGAGAACCCGAGCGGAGTGCTGATAACCGCCGCCGCCACCAACTGTAACCATTTCACGACATCGATAGTGACATTCAAAGCATACAGAGAGTCAGAACAGGCTTGTCGTGGTAGGTATCGGGGGTATGCGCAATGAATGAAGCGACGGGAAAAGCCAACGATGATGCTTTTCGAAATCGGGAAGGGGAGCTTCGGCGGACGAGGTTTGCTTCCCAACCCAATGCGGCGGAAAGGCCCGTCACGTGGCGCTAAAGGCCGCGCAGCCCGCGCTTAATGCATTAGTCACTCCTTAGTCACCACGGCCAGGCCGTTCCAAGCCGCCGACCGCGTCTTTTTCCCTTCCAGCTTGAACTATCCTCCTGTCGCGCCATAACACCCTTTCTTATCGGGAAATGGGCCAGGGTTAGTCTGGGACTTTGAGACATTGGAACCTTGTGCAAATCATTATCACAAGTCACTTTCTCTAACCCTCACCCGGCCACTGCTGATCTTGTTTCAAGCGCCTCTTTCGGCGCCTGTCATGGCCTGTGGTTCCAGCGCTGACTGATTGACTGACTGACTCCATTTAAACAAAGGCAAGCCAGCCAGCCAACTATCAGAGCTAGACTGTTGCTCAACGTCAGCAACGCAACAATTGATAATCGCATTGCGCATAGTTACACTAATCTGAAACCTTCCTCATCCGATCGCCTAGCAGGCCGAGGTGCGCATCATGGCCACTAAACGCAAGGCAGCGACGTTGAACGCCGCTATCGATGATGAACCGGTCGACCCCACCGACGAGTTGGCCTTTCACTGTCTGGGAGGCGGCAATGAAGTCGGACGATCCTGTCATATTATTCAGTACAAGGGAAAGACTGTCATGGTGGGTGGCAAGCAAAGTCCTATGTCTTGCTCTGGTGCCATGCTGACTTGCCAACTTCAACAGTTCGATGCAGGTATGCATCCTGGAAAGGAGGGCTTCTCGGCTCTTCCTTTCTTTGACGAGTTCGACTTGAGTACGGTAGATATTCTACTGATCAGCCAGTATGTGGGATAGCCTCTCCTTTGTGTTTCGCCGTTTCTGCCACACTGTCCGTCGTCATGTACGACGAGCTCGTTAGCGCCTATGTGCTACACCATGTATAGACCTATGCGCCCCCGGGGTATTCCTGGCGATGGCTCCCGCTATCGCCTCATTCGATCCCCGCTCATGTACATGAGACTTCAATAAATATGATGTTATCTTCCATGTCGTGTCCTTGTATAATGCGTCGCGAGCAATATTATCTGCCACAATCGTGGCAGTGCCTCACCGGAATGTCCGCTGATACATGCTCCTCCTCCTCCTAGTTTTCACGTCGACCATTCATCGGCATTACCATATGTACTCAGCAAGACGAATTTCAAGGGGCGTGTGTTCATGACACATGCTACCAAGGCTATTTACAAATGGCTCATCCAGGATAATGTGCGAGTGAGCAACACGTCGTCCTCGTCGGACCAACGCACTACTTTGTACACCGAGCATGATCACCACACCACACTTGATCAAATCGAACTCATTGATTTCCACACCACCCACACCGTCAACGGCATTCGCTTTACTCCCTACCCGGCCGGTCATGTCCTCGGCGCTGCCATGTTCCTGGTCTCCATTGCCGACTTGAACATTCTTTTCACAGGCGATTATTCCCGAGAGGAAGACCGTCATTTGATCCCGGCGGAGGTTCCCAAGGGTATCAAGATCGACGTGCTCATCACCGAATCCACCTTCGGTATCTCGTCTACCCCGCCCCGTCTGGAGCGTGAAGCCGCCTTGATGAAGTCGGTCACCGGTGTTTTGAATCGTGGTGGCAGGGTCTTGATGCCGGTATTTGCTCTAGGTCGCGCCCAAGAAATCCTACTCATCTTGGATGAATATTGGGATACACACCCCGAGCTGCAGAGGATCCCTATCTACTACATCGGAAATACGGCCCGAAGATGTATGAACGTGTATCAGACATATATACATTCAATGAACGATAACATTAAGCGGCTCCACCGTCAGCGTATGGCGGAGGCGGAGGCGCGTGGGGACAACGCATTGAGTGTAGGACCCTGGGATTTCAAGTTCGTCCGGAGTCTGCGCAGCTTGGAACGCTTTGATGATGTAGGAGGCTGTGTCATGCTGGCTTCGCCGGGTATGCTCCAGACGGGAACCAGTCGAGAGCTGCTGGAGCGATGGGCCCCCAACGAACGCAACGGCATCGTCATGACCGGTTACAGTGTGGAAGGCACGATGGCCAAACAAATCTTGAATGAGCCAGAACAGATTCCTGCGGTGATGTCTAGAGCAGCGTCAGGGATGGTGAGACGAAACGGCGACGAGGAGCAGAAGGTCATGATTCCCCGACGGTGTACTGTGGATGAGATCAGTTTTGCAGCCCATGTGGACGGTGTTCAGAACCGAAACTTCATTGAGGAAATCTCCGCACCTGTTGTGGTATGTATATCTCCGAGAAGGATTGTGACACCACACTGATTGACCTATTTAGATCCTGGTCCACGGCGAGAAACATCAAATGATGCGTCTCAAGTCCAAATTGCTCAGCCTAAACGCCGAGAAGACCGTCAAAGTGAAGGTGTACACTCCGGCCAACTGCGATGAGGTCCGCATTCCTTTCAAGAAGGACAAGATTGCAAAAGTTGTTGGTAAATTGGCCCAAGTGGCACCTCCGACCGAGGAGGACGACGGCCACTTGATGACTGGAGTTCTCGTAGAGAACGGCTTTGACTTGTCGTTGATGGCTCCTGACGATCTCAGGGAGTACGCTGGTCTCACTACAACCACCATCGTATGCAAGCAGCATCTCACACTGAGCTCTGCAAGCATAGACTTGATCAAGTGGGCACTTGAGGGGACTTTCGGCGCTATTGAAGAGGTGGGCGCTCCACAAAAGGAGATCAAGAAGGAAAGCGGAGACGACACTTTAGATACGAAAGCGAGCCAGGTCAAAGAAGAGGCTGCTGATGAGGAAATCCCTATGGAGGACACGCAAACGTACCTTGTCATGGGCTGTGTGCTACTTCGCTACCATCCTCGCACCCGTGAGCTTGAGCTCGAGTGGGAGGGTAACATTATGAACGATGGAGTCGCGGACGCCGTGATGGCCGTTCTTCTCACGGTGGAAAGCAGCCCTGCATCTGTGAAACGTATGTTGGTATCTGGGCATGATTGCAATGTATATTGCTAACTCATCTTGCAGAATCCGCGAAGCAAAACCACCACCACCACCACCACCACCACCATCACCAATACGATGTTGTTGACGAATTGCCCAATCCCCACTCTAACCTAGGACCGGAAGAGCGATTCCGACGCCTGCTCATGATGCTACAAGCGCAATTTGGGTCTGAGATCGTGGCCATCGAGCGTCCACGACTCCCTCCTAACCGGCTCACAAACGGCACAGCCAAGCCTGAGACCAAAAGCGAGGCTGGCGACCAAACACCCATCAAGCAAGAGGACGAGGAAGAAGATGAGGATGACGAAACAATGGAGGAGCTAGAAGCGGCCGAGTTGGCTCGTCTCGAGGCGCTGGGTATCCCCTTTCCTGGACTTGAGATTAAGGTCGACAAACACGTTGCGCGGGTCTGGCTGGAGACTCTGGAGGTGGAGTGTGCGAACGCAGTGCTGAGGGACCGGATTCGGGTGGTCATTGAACGGGCCGTCGAAACGGTGGCAAGCATGTGGCAAGAGGGACCGGCGCCTGCCACCATTGCCAACGGAGATAGCAAGGAGGATAGTTCGATGTCCAAGGCTGCGGCCATCGAGGCCAAAGCATAGATCCTTGCAGTTTTGTGTACTGTACTTGTAGTCCTTGTTTGGTTCTGGGCCAAGCTGTGCCTGGGCGTATATGTCTTAGCGAGAATGATGATTCAGAAACAGTTTCCATTGGAAGTGACTCTTGCTTATGCATGATATTGTAGCCTAGCCAATTAGGTTTGCATACAATAGTGAAAATGCACCACTTGTAAAGCATCCTAGGACTTACCCCCCTCCCTTTCCAATGCACCTACTGTAAATAACATATTCACTCATACCTTTCCCACCATTCCGACCTCCAATCTCTCAAAAACCGCCTCAACCACCTCGCCCGTCTTCTGAACAATCAAATCCACCTCCTCCTGGGTGACGTTATACGGCGGCGCCAACAACACATGATCCCCTCGCACCCCATCCACCGTCCCATTGCCGGCATACAACGAGATGCCAAACCGAGGATCCATCCCCATCTCCTGCACCAGTCCCGCCACCTTCGCCTCCGGACTAAACGGCTCCTTTGTCGCTTTATCCCTGACAAACTCAATCTACACCATCGCGCATGAACCCGGGTCAGCCATCGGTCATCCAAGCTTTCGTCCAATGTACACTGAAAACACAACATGAAGGGAAAAGGAATACTCACCCCCCAAAACAACCCCCTACCCCTAATATCCCCAACATGCGGATGCGTCCCCAACCGCTCCGTTAACTTCTCCCCGAGGTACGTCCCCATCCGCCGCACATTTTCGAGGAGGTGATCCCGCTGGATGACCTTCTGCACCGCCAGCGCGGCCGCACACCCCACCGGATGGCCCTGGTAGGTCTGACCGTGCCGAAACACCCCCGTGCCAGCGTCAAGCACCCGCACGATCTTCTCGTGGATGAGGAGTCCCGAGACCGGCGCGTAGCCGCCGCCTAGCCCCTTGCCGATGGCTTGGAGGTCCGGGACCACGCCCTCGGGCTCCCAGGCGTGCAGCGTGCCGCAGCGGCCCATGCCGCTCATCACTTCGTCGAGGATGAGGAGGGCGCCGTGTTTGTGGACGATGCGTTGGATGGCGGGGAGGTAGGTGGGAAGGGGGGGGAGGGCAGCCAGGCTCTAAATTTTTTGGGGTGGGAGTTAGAGGTTGTCTGCGAGGGGGGATGGGGGGCAGGTTGTGGGTTTGGGATGGGTAGGTGGGTGGAAACACGTACAGCTCCGACGACGGTCTCCATGACGAATGCGCAGACGTTCTCGGGTCCGACGCGCTCGAACTCGGCGTCTAGTTCTGCGGCGAGCCGGGCGACGTAGTCGGCATCGGACTCGTTGGCGTTCTTGCCGCGGTAGGGGTAGCATGGCGAGACGTGGGAGGTGTTGGTCGATAGGAGGGGCTCGAAGGGCTGTCGGCGGGTGGTGTGGCCCCCGACGGAGAGAGCGCCCAGCGTCACGCCGTGGTAGGAGGGTTTGCGGGCGATGAAGCGTGTGCGTTGGGGCTGCGGGGTGGGAAGCTCGAGGAAGTACTGGCGCGCGAGCTTGAGGGCTGCTTCGATTGCTTCGGAGCCTGGGTGGTGCTGAGGCTTAGCATCTCATGTTTGCTGTAAGGTGGGAGACTGGGGCAGAAAAGGGAAGGGGGGGCCTCATACCGGAGCTCACGATAAACGCTTTCGATAGCTGACCTCCGGTCGATTCAGCCAGGAACCGACCGAGCTCCTCGGATGCTTCTGTGCTGAAGAAGGCGGAGTGGCAGTAGGACAGCTGGTTCATTTGCTCTGTGATCGCCTGTTGGATTGCCTCGTGGCCGTGGCCGAGACACGCGACGGCCGCACCGCCGGTCGAGTCGAGGAACTTGGTCCCATCTTCGAGGTAGATGTAGCAGCCTTTTCCTCCGATGGCCTTCTTGGGTATGTGCTGGGTGTCTCGGTGGAGAACGGCGCTTCGAGTGGATGGCTCTGGGATGGCGTTAGTATTGCTTGTAGCGAGGTATAGTTGCGCGAGTATAGGTTCAGGAAGTGTGCTGTACCTGGTTTCGTCATGGTTGAGCAAATTTTGTTTTAGTGTATCAATCGCTGCAGGAGTTATACGAACCAGAGTAGATGTGTGTTCATGTTTGATGGCAGGGACATCGCTCGTATTTATGTGTAGGAGTTGCGAACATTCACCTTTGTTCTGGCTGTACCTCATGTGTGGGGGAAGAGCGGGGGTGAATCCGGCAAGCCGATCGCGTCTGGAGAAGCCGAGGATCTGGTTGGCTGCCCCCGCCGACGGGGCCGATCTCCGGGATTGACTTACAGTGACTCAGTGATAACTTGATAAGTCATAACACTTCTAGATCTGAGTAATTGGAGATAAGTATAAGAGAGCTTTAGTGTTCACTCTATAGTAGGGCCATAAGAAGCGATCAATGATCGGCAATGGACCATATCGTGCACTATATAGCATATAGGCGGGCTTGCAAAGAGGTCGTAGAGGTGTACTGGCAATGGTTGAGGTTAGTTTGAGCTCTGACTTTAGTATGGTGAGTCTATATCTAGATGGCAGTATAGATGCTTTACTTGATCAGTCAGGAACTTAAAGAAGCTTCGCAGCATTGGGGTGCTCCGATCTACCTCGTTTACCTCGTTGATGATACAGATAATGTGCGGTTGGGTAAGAAACACAATGGCGAGATTTATTACTTTAGGGGAATAAATGCTTCAATAGGAGCAGTTTTAGAGTATACTGGTTTGTCAATCTAATTTCTATGAAAATGTACAGTATATGAGCGGAGGTGAACTCGGAGCATTCTCAAGCCGCAGCTAACTCACCACGAGCTGTTGTAGCTGTGGCGGGCGGTGGAGCGAGTGTCCCGCTCCGCACCAGTTGGCCGGCCGGCCACTAAAACTTCCCTTCCGCACAGAAAGGCCAGCCAGCCAAACGGACCTCTCTCCACCCCAAATACAGCTCCCTCCCTCCCTCATCTCCAACTCCCCCGTCGTCCTCTTTCCTACTCGATCCGATATTCAACCCACATCCAACATCACCGGAGCAACACATACAGCCTTTCATCATGTCGCGAGCAGCTCGAGTCGAGGAGGTGTACGACTCCGACCCCGAGGAAGTTGCGCCCTCCGCCAGCTTCGCCAACGACGCCATCATTTCTCCTGCTGGCATCCCCACCACGTCCTCTATGCCCACGAGGCCTCCCCCGGAGCCCACGCGCGAGATCCCTAAACATTATCAATGCTTGTACCCTATATACTTCGATAAGTCCCGGTCTCGCGCCGAGGGCCGCAAGGTCGGCGCTGAACTGGCCGTCGAGAACCCATTGGCTCGAGACATCGTCGATGCAGTGCAGATGATGGGGTTGACCGTGGGCTTCGAGCCGGAGAAGTTGCATCCCAAGGACTGGGCCAACCCTGGTCGTGTGCGCGTGATGCTGAAAGACGAGAGTGGCCAATTGGTCAACCCGCAAATCAAAAACAGTATGCTCAATCCCGAAACCACCCTATGTGCCAGACACCAGTCGACGAGCATTGGCGCTAATACTTCTTCCTCTAGAACACCATCTATACATCCTTGTGGCGCAGTACCTCAAAGCTCACCCAACTACCGAAGAATCGCCCTACCGGTTGAGAATCAGAGGACTTCCGGTCCCCGAGAAACTTCCCGGCGCTCCCCCCGCTCCCCGGGGCTGGAAGATCGGAAAGATTCTCCCCATCCACTCCCCTGCCTACAGCGGTGGCGGTGTTAGCGATAACCCGCTCAAGGACGCCATGGCTGAGATGCAGAACATGCAGGGCATGCCCGGTATGCCTGAGATACCCGGAATGGCGGATCTGGCAAACATGATGGGCGGCTTAGGAGGTCTGGGTGGCTTGGGTGGCGGCAGCCCTGCCGCTCCCAGCGGCAGTGAAAAGAAGAAGAAGGACAAGAAGAAGGGCAAGGCTTAGAGTGTCTGATCTACTCCACCCTTGTGGTGTGTCATGTGGTATATATGCTTTGGGTTGCATGGGCATGGGCGAAAGGCGTTTTGTTGCTTCCAGATATAAAGAGCATCATTGCTGTTCTCATGATACCAAGTTGATATTGGAGCCATCCTTCCTTTTGGTTTGTGTCGTAGGATAGAACAGCCATGTGGCGAGGACTCTGCTAGTTTCTCAATGTAGATATGAGACCTGTTTTTTACAAGAGTACGCCAGCATCAAATGTTCCCCATTCTTGCATCTATATTTCGACCAACAGGGGCCTATTTTTTTGAATGAATTCCCAAGCTGGTGACGGAGTGTAGCTGGCTTGGGTATGAGGCGGCTGTTATTGGCCGAGGTGACGGCGATTGCCGATAACGCTCTTCCTACCCCGGATGCCATCAATAATCGCGGGCACTCCCAATCGAGGCCCCGCTGACTGGAAATTATTCTTTCAGAAATCCACCTGTCTCGATTTTCACATCCACTGCGCGAAATTCATTGCATGATTCAGTCTTCATCGCGCTACTCACTCATGGACTAAAGCGACTTGGCCCAAGCGCAGCAGCCTCAGCTCCCCCATGAATCACCCCTCCTGCGCCGTCAATGGATCACAGCACCCCGCCACTGCGACCGAGGGACCATGAACACCAGCTCACCTCCCAGCGACCCCTCCAACCCAGGGCAGGTCAACCCCAGCCCCAAATCTCCGCGACGCTATAGCAACTATGACGCCACCCCTGCCTCTGCTTCCTCTTCCTCCTCCGCTGCGCCCCGGGTCGTCGGGAAACCGGGAGGTCGTCAGATCACGCGGAACCGCGCCAGCTACAGCTGTCATACCTGTCGGAGACGGAAGGTGAAATGCGACAAGGTATGTTTGTTGTCTGGAATAACTCTCCCCTTCGCGCGGAGCGTTCTGAAATTAACTTTCACCTTCCCTTGTGAAAATCCTCAGGTCCATCCAATATGCGGGAACTGCCAAAAGAACGAAACCGAATGTGTCTACGATGTCTCCGCGCAGAAAGACGCGGAGGCGCGCAATGCGCCAGCCAAGGACGGCCAGGGTATCAAGCGACGGAGGGAGTCATCGCAGCAGCTGGACGACGACATGGATGAGCTTCAATCCATCTACGGCCATTTGAAGCGGTCCGGCTCGGCGGAGCAGCAGAGGCTCGGGTCACAAGGAATCGAGGCGCGGTTGGATAAGCTCACGTCCATGATTGAGCGGCTCAGTAAAACCAATAGTCAGGCATTGGATCCGTCGGAGAAGCGGTTGCTGCTGCAAAGTGCGGGCTCGGATTCGTCTAAGAGAGAACCTCGCGTGGCCGGCGCGACGGCGGCGGCTGCGTCTGCGTCTGCGTCTGCGACGAAGGCTTCCGATACAGCGCGCTCGGATAGCCCGCGTCGCGTGGCGGATTCGAGTGGGGATGAGTTCCCGATCCCTGCCGGTCATGCTACGGACTTGGTCGATCCGGTGGGGAGTCTGAATTTGGGTCATCTGAGTTTGGAGGATGGAGGTCGGTCGAGGTAGGTTTCCTGGTGTGAGAGGGAAGGGCTCTGTGGCTTATCATGATGCAGATATGTGGGAACTACGTACTGGGCTTATATTTCTCATGAAGTACGCATTGAAGTCTTCGACTACTGCTGCAGTAATTTGTTGCTGACGGGAAGCAGATCAACGAGCTCAATCAACTACTTAGGGTCCAAAACCGATCGCATAATGAGCGAAACTCCCAGGACACTTCTGCTGAAGATACTACGACGGAACCTATGGAAGCGACGCCTAGCCGTCAATGGAAGCCAGTGCCAGATGAGTCTGGTGAGCTTGCAAACGATCAAGCCTCCCGGGGAGAAAGGTTCCAGAAATCTGTGCTGTTTCCATCAGGTGAATCGCCTTCGGTCAAGGACAAGGTGGTTGAGCCTGAAATGTTGGAGAATATGCCGACAAAGCGACAAAGCCACATCCTGTACAAAGGCTTCATGTCTGGAGTCCATGCAATCACTCCAGTGATCCACCCACCGACCATACACAAACTCTACTACTCATTCTGGGACTGGTATGACTCCAGCAGCTATTCGGGCGACCCTTGCCCAGACCCGTCGTTCATCCCGTTGCTTTATGCCATCTGGTATGGTGGATCTGTCACGATCTCACTACGAACCATCAAGGCTGAATTCAATGTGTCATCCCGATCAACGCTCTCCAAGGCATACAATGATGAGGTGACTAGATGGTTGACCAAAATCTCGTTCCCTCGAAGTCCCTCTCTGCAAGGCCTGGCTGCATATCTTCTGGTACAGACAATACTCGCTAAAGAGGAAGAGCCTTTAACGAGCAGTCTGTTTGTCAGTCTCGCCATGAGGGTAGCTCAAACCATGGGCTTGCATCGAGATCCTGCGAAGTTCGGTATTGGTCCCTGTGAAGCAGAATATCGTCGTCGCATATGGTGGCATATCGTCCACATGGACGGTGTGGTTGCCATGTCCAGTGGATTGCCTCCGTTGGTCAGTGATGAGAATTACTGGGATGTTCGCGACAGTAGCGAGGTGAAAGACACCTTGCTTGGTACTCCAGAGGCTGAAAAGTATGATCGACTAGTCATGACCGGCCTAAGGCTCCCCGACAACCCAGACGATCCAACCATTTGTGGCGGTCCCTCGATGGTCAACGTATACTATCTGGCAGCTCGGGGGAAGTATACAATGGCTCGTAAGTTTCGTTCAATGCGAGATAACGGCATAGGAAGTCTAATCTGTGCTCTGTAGGTGCTGTTCGACGGATCTTGAAGATCCAGCTGGGTACTAGGCCCTTAACACGGCGGGATATGGAAGAGCTTAGGTCGATTCTGGTTGAGCTGCAGCAGAACTTGAACTCCATCGTCTCCCGTATACCAGAAGCGGATTCGACCGATGTCTCTTCAGTTCCCTCGACTAGGTCTTGGTCTACCTCCTCGCTTGCTGAAAACCGCAGCAGCGATATTGAGCTCCCCGGAGAAGGGCCGAACGGCTGTCCTGAGCAGTACCATTCTCCAGTCCTTGTGTCTTTCCACAAGTGGGCCAGAATTGTCCTCTCACTCTTCATTGACAAGGTACGTAAACATACTTTAGTCTCCCGTAGCACAAGAAATCTATGCTAATGAATGCTAGGCATTCTGTGTCGCCTATCAACCTTTTCTGAAGAACGCAAAGAGCCGGATCTGGCCAGCTGCGAGACAAAGGTGCGTCCCGCTTGATCGATACTTCTGGTAGTTACTGACGTGGTGTAGCGCTCTCCGCCATTGTCATGGCTTCATGGAGAAGTTTGTTTCTCTCGCAACCGACCCTGATTTTCAGCCGTTCCAATGGAGCTGGCCCGGCAATCACCAGCCAATGCACGCCACCATGATCATGCTCATTGATCTCTACGAACGGCCCTACAGCGCTGAGGCGCCCAAATCACGGGCCTATATTGACAAAATCTTCTCCATGACGGGCCCCGATGGTGGAGTTGTTGGGGGTGAAGATGGCATCTCGACTCAACGACCCTTGAACGACGGTGGTCGCGAGGCATGGGACATGATCCGTAGGCTGCGGCAGCAGGCCTGGCAGCGAGCTGGACTCGATCCTAGTCGACTATGGTCCGAACAGGCGCAGATCCAAGCGGGCGTGGCCAACGTTGATGACCATACATCTGCCATTGAAGCAGATGCTGCCTCCCGGCGACAGCCCAGGGACTTCTCCAAGCTACTGCACAACATGACTCGATCTCATCATTTCCGCCCTACCTCATCACTTCGCTATCAACTCCCTTCTCCCACCCAGCAGCATCACCAACAGCGGCAGCGGCAGCGAAGATCCCCTTCGCAATCAGCCAGCCCCCAAATGATGTCTCCTGACCCCCACCACCGCCCCTCCTCCACATCCCCCTCCTCCCCAATCGCCCAACAACAATATCAACCAAACGGCGAACCGTCCCCCTCGTCACCCCTGCCCCAACCCGGAGGTGGTCCCTCGACCACGTCCTCCTCCGAGAACTCGAACACGAACATGCACATGCCCTCCCTACTACCGCCAGGCCCGATCCCAGGCTTCACCTTCAACCAGCAATCCCTGCCTTCGGCACCCCCTCCTGCGCTGCCCGCCTTCCTCGTCGATGTCGCCGCCTCCGCTGCCGCCTCGCCCGCCGCGCAGGCCATGACCGGGGTCCCCACCCCGCCCTCCATGGTGGATCCGAACCTAAACTTCGACTGGGACCAGTGGGACGCCGTCTTCGGGCAGCACCTGCCCGTCGCCGACGAGCTCATGGAGCTCGACCCGGTCACCGGGTTGGAGTTTGGGGATTTGGGTATGGAGGGTAGTCCAGGTGCTGGGGCTGGGGCTGGGGCTGGCGGAGAGATGTCCTCGCATCGGTCTACTTGGGCGGGTTATTGAATTATACATACATAGTAGAAATGAAATGAAGTGGTCCGATCTCTCTCGCATTTGTTTAGGTGTACTATATGGAATCCGTCCATCAACCGACATGACGAATTCAGTGCACGGTTGGTAATGTAAAATGTGTATTTGACTTTGTAGAGCGTGTAGTTTTACTTTTAGTCGACAAATTCCTATCTATACCTTATGTATACCCAGAAGGCCCATTTAATGGGGATCTAGAAAGATCGATAAAAGATGGAGATAGGGGAAACGTTTGAAAAAAAGTTATGGAATTCATGAGGCGTGACTTTCGGTCTAAAAAGCAACAAACGGTTGTTTGCTGTTTTGACCAAGATTTTTCTTGATTCATGACAACATTCTTCGCACAACAAGGTTGGAAGGATTTGAGGGTTTGAGCGGGAGACGTTCAGGAGGGGTATAATTAATCTTTTTATTTGAAAAGGCTGGCTTGTAGTTTTCCCTTAGACCTTGACCTCGCGGAGACCGTGCTTCCAGAGGGTGGCGTAGGGGGTGACACCGTCATCACGGAAGTCGATGAGGACGTGCCTGCAATTATATTAGCAAATTGTTTGTATCTTGTCGAGGTAAGGAAACATACATAGCATCACCGTCCATGGACTGACCCATGAGGACATCGTAGTTGTCGTAGTTGGCCAGGATCTTCTTGACGGCACCGGGAGCACCCTTCTTGAACTCGTTGATGGTCTCCTCGCTGGCACCGGTCTCCTGGAGCTTGGTGAGGACCTTCTTCATGTAGCCTATTTGGTACGCGAGTTAGCCAGCTGTTTCCGATTGGATTTTGAGTGCATGTTTTGTGTGTGTGTGTGTGTGTGTGTGTGTGTGTGTGTGTGTGTGTGGTGTGTGGTGGGTGGGTGGGTGGGTGGTGTGTGTGAGAG